TTTTTTTTTTGGGGGGGGGGGGGTGGTTGCAGCATATTTTTTTTCAAAGAGTGCTTATGTTAGCATATATAAATTAAAATTTGCCAATAAACCAGAAACTTAACAGAGACCAACAACATGCAATACAGATCAAGTTCGCTAACTTTTTACAATAAAAAGTGGGGTTTTGTTTACATGGTTTTTCAGTCGTTAATTAACTGACCATTGGCAAGAGGTTATTTTGGCAATCGTGACGAGTTTTAGTAGCCATTGCCATTGTGAAGAGGTGGCCATTGCAGAGAGATTAAAATAAGAGTGAATGTTTGAACAGTCCATCAGGACCGAAAAGGTGGCTGTTTTAGAGAGGTGGCTGTTAGTGATTGAAGTAGTATTTCTACCTTCTCCCCTTTCCCTCCTGGATGGGATGCTAATCCATCACAGGGTTACCCCCAACACTAAATTTGCTGGTACCCATTTATACAGCTGGGTGGAGAGAGGCACTTTGACAGTCAAGCATCTTGCTAAATAAAACAATACTATGGCCTTTGTAAGGGGTAAGCCCAAACTGTTTGATTTATAGTCCAGCACACTAACCATTTTGATAGGCCGCTCAGTCTCCCACAACAGGGTGAAAAATGTCATGTACATGGGATGTATCAGTTGTCTGCATGTCTTAATAATAATCTTACTTGTATGGAAAATGTCCAAACTGTTGTGAGCCTAAATCATTTTGTAGACGATTTTGATGTTCCATGGGAAGTTCATCCTGGAATTTTGTGTTTGCCTTTTTGAGAGCTGAAAAGTCCTAAAACACCTGGAAATGAGTGATTTTGCCGCAGGGGTCTGAGAATTTTAATTCACTTCCAGTTTTTTTGTTTTTGCTTTCTTTGTACTCTTTGGTTCCTGGAAAATCAGACCACATTACTGATTTAAGAACTAAGGGCCTTAAAGAGACATTTCGAAATACTGTAAGTAGTCCGGGGAGGAATAAGTTGGTATCCCTAAATAAACCATTGCTTCTACATAAGATACGGACTCTTGCTTTATCCTACTTCCACTAGAGACGCTGATCTCGCCAGAAGTGTTTGCTGAAGTGCTGTGTGATGATCTTGATTTACCACCAGCATCTTTTGTGCCTGCTGTAGTCCAGGCTATAAGACAGCAGATTAAACAGTTTGACACAGATTCTGAGATAACAGTGGATAAACAATCAGATCAGAGGGTTATAATCAAGGTATGGTGCATAAAATGTTACTGTTGAGTGTTCTTATCTTGAGGGAAACTGTGCAAATGCAGCTTCATCTGTTGATACAATCTTTTTCAAAATGAGTTAAAATCAGAGCAGTGATTATTATCATGATTATCGTGTTGTAAATAAGCAAACAACATGCACAGTTTCTTGACTCTGGCAGAACTACCACAGGGGTTTCATTAATGACCAGGCACCAGGCTAGCAACTTTTTCAGCAAGTTCCTGAAAACAGCAGAGCTGCAAAAGTTGAACAGTAGGTCTCAACCTTTCAGCTGAAAACCAACTCAGTCAAAACTGGTTTTAGCTGAAACTGCGAGTCTAGTAAGAAAATACCTTGTTCAAAATAGACTTAACTCCAAAAAGAAGGGGTTTGAAATATTAGAAAACATGTTGTTCTCAAGGGTAAATTTTTGAGTTTCACACTAGTAAGATGGAGAAATTGTGGCTATCCCCAGACCTACATTGTACTACACCCTGCTGTACTGTGATAAAAAGCTATAAAAGAAACAGCTGTTGTGAAAGTTGACAATCTTGTTGAAAAACTATTTTGGTGTTGTTTGGTACCAAATAAAGAGTGGCTATCCATCTTATTTATTATTTAGAGAGTTGTAATTTTCATCCACACAGCTTAATATCCATGTGGGTAACATTTCATTAATGGATCAGTTTGAGTGGGATTTGTCTGAACCGCTAAACACTCCTGAAGAATTTGCCCTCAGCCTGTGTTCTGATTTGGGGCTCGGTGGCGAGTTTGCCACAGCCATTGCGTACAGCATTCGTGGTCAACTAAGTTGGCATTCAAAAACATATGCCTTCAGTGAAGCGCCATTACCGACTATAGAGACACCCATTAGATCAGGTACAGATGTCGATAACTGGGGTCCTTACCTCGAGACACTGACCGACGCCGAGATGGAGAAGAAACTGCGTGACCAGGACAGGAATACCAGGTTTGTACTTTTGTCTGCTTTGGGCTTTTCTTGCTGGCCAGTAAATCATTATAATCGTTTGCAATCATCCAAATATAAAAATATGCTCTGCGTAATTCCTTAATTTTGTAATTAATATAATTCTATGATTTCATTATCGCCTTCTCGTCGATGGCTTCGTGGGCTTTCTCGAGTTCGTCAATCACTTCCAACAGTTTCGTGGCCACCGTTTCTTCAGTTGTTACTGTAGATGTTTGAGCGTTCTTTACAGGCGTCTGTTGGTCCTTTACCGTGTCGCTGGAATCTTGAGAATCTTTTTGAAGTTCTTTCGTTCCCAGGAATTTCTTTCGGAGTTCGTCACGACTCTGAAGAAGCTGCGTGAAAATCATCTGTGCTTCGGAGTCTGGGTCGAGTGGATCTCGCCAATCACTCAAGGTCACGTGTGTGTGGGTTAACTGGCAGCCACCAGCTGAAACAGGAAGGAAGTTACTGAACGGCAGGAAATTATGAGTATGACTTTGGTGAAAGGTTGTCAGGTTATTTCTTGGGTTCGTAAACTAGTTTGGTTAAGTAATAGCAAAGTATGCCCCGAGCAAAGACCCAGAGCTTATCCTTGTTTCTTTAGCATTTCGAGATCAGTGTCTTGAGAAATGACTGATTCTACAATTGAGATCGAGGTTCGTTATAATTTGTCCAGCGGCACCTTTAAAAATGTCCAATTCCACTGATATGGTTTCTTCCTTACATCGTTTTCTTGATACGTGATTTTGTCCAGTCATGGCAAGTTGACTACGTGAACAATTTTAGTAACTCTTCATAAAGAACGTTGCAAGCGCATGATCGGTGTCTGGCCCTCCACCACAGTATCACATGTCAGGTACGTGGCTAGCACGTGGCTTATTACACTTACCTGTTTTGATTACCCGTTTGCAGCATGTCCATTTGTTTTTGTGGAAGACTCCGGGGTGGAAGTAAGATAACATTTTTGGATTGGAAATGGTCGTCTTCCTAATCGCTGATAGCCACTGATTCATCTCATTCACATCCTGAATTAAAAATAACAAAATAGACGCACCTAAATTGCTGTTTAAATTGAATAACACTGAAGCAAGGCTGATTACTACGTAGAAAACTTAATGCGACGACATGATAGAGTCCAAACTGAGAGCCAAGAATTGCAACCTTGGATGGCTGTTTACAGATCCTACGTATACCAGCAGCTTTTTGGTTGCGGTCTCTTACAATATTTCTGTTTTTAAGTTTCTTTTGGGAGTGTAAAGATAGCAGGATTTACCTATATGAGAAACGAATTGTGAAAATAAGTTATTATTACCTGAGCAGCAAGATAAAGGATCTGTAATGCGTCGTCGTAATCTTTGCTCACCACTTGAAACACGTTTGGCTTTTGAAATGCTGACTCATCAACCCGCTCAACTGCTAAGATTTTCCTTGTTGGGAGAAACTGTCTTGTCTGAAATAATACAAAAAGGAAAAAGAAAAGCCGAGCTCGAGTAACGTAACTGACAAGATATGTATCAGGCTTTGGTCACACTTGGTGCCCAAGCATGGTGCCTGAGAAAGATTCTCGCTTCAGAATTCGGGCGCAGTGTTCGTGCTCGGGTACAAGGTCTCGACCATGCAGTTGAGCACTAGATGGTACTTGGGTCTTTGGAGTACCCAGTGTCTGAACGCAACCCTTCTTTGTGCTAGTGCTGGTTTAAACACAGCCTCAGCAGATTCGATTTACTTTATGTAGTCCTAAAAAAATCACTATGTGTGAGACTTCAGCGTTGGGAATATCAGGGAATAAGCCTCCGCATAAGGGAGATTTATTTACTTGTTAGTCTACAAAAGCGCGCCAAAATTACCTGTGAATCATTTGTTTTGGCGTAAAGGAAATTCTCAGTACTCAGCCAACAGTAGCGCTTTTTAAACTTGTATGGTTTTGGTAGCCTGGTGTCCCTGTAGCGGCACTTCTTAACGGAACCTTCCTTGATAATGAGAGAGTTACTGAACACCGTCCTCCTGTGGTCACAACCTGGAACTAACATTGAAAAGGAAGCCAAGTTAGAACTTAATAAACAGACTTTAACAATAGGCATTGGCTAGCTTCGTTACAGTGTTCACAGAACCTCTTCATGACATAAACGCTGCAGCGAAGCAAAACTGTAACTAGGCTAGTCTGGCCATTTAATTTGGAAGTGGCCCTTATTTTGCGTCTGGTGAAGTCTACCAAAGGCTACGAAACTTGTGCTAATCAACGAGGATATGTTCTTTTTACTCAATCAGTAGCCAAGGCTATTTCTTTTCTCGCTTATCTCTTTCTTTTAGTTTCCTCTCTACAACCAGTGCTAGGTTCTCTCCGTTTCCCTCTTCCTTCTCTACATTCTGAGAACCCAGACTCGGCGAGATATTCAGATTCACGCTTAGTTCAAGTCTTCATTTGGTGCTAGCTACTTTTCCAGCAACTTTCTTTTTCAAGTAGTCTGATTCATTTAAACCTCATTGTAATCGCTTTGGTTTTCGTTTTGTATGAGTCTTTGATAGCTCAAAAGTTTTTACTACCATCTTCATCCTCCACGTCAGCAAGCCTGTCCAGAAAGTCCTTGACTTCGTCTGTGTAGAATGCGATCCACTTGTACAGCGGTCCCATCCACTCTTCCTTCCCGTTATGCAGAGGGAGCTCAATGTTGCCAATCTTCTGCACAGTCTGGGAACAACGGACAAACACCACACAATCACTGTTTTTGCGTTTGTACGATTTTAGTCTGTGATAATTCGTAGAAGCAATTGAATGGGTTCATTTCTCGTTATTCAATGAAAATACAACGCAAGGCGCCAATGTGCACCTTGATTGGTGTTATGTTAATAAGGAACTTCTTCGACTTCAGTGAAGTCGGTTGCTAAGACAAGGACTCCTATCGAACGAGTAGTCCTGTGCCTCTTCCAGGCCTGTATTTTGATTCGTTCTCTTATCCTGTAGCTCCTATTGTTTCAAGCGCTGGGAGCATTGTTTAATTCATTTATGTATTGTTTACTGAGCTTATCACAAACTCTGTTTGGAAAGCTACAGGCTTTCTCTATAGAACTGACATATTCCCCCAGATAGGAGAATCAAGCCAGTTAAGGGCGAGACGCCTTGACAATTTTTTTCTAAGACTGCACCCTTCAAACCGAAACTGGTAGAAGATCTCTCTGATATCGGAAGTTAACTGGCACGCTACCGCTCTCCTCAGATACTGACCTTTGCCAAGATGGTTAGTGTACGGGAGACATTCTTGTCTGCATGGTTTTCCCTCAAACCGAAGAGCTTGGGTCCGAGAATTGCTGGCGCGAAGAACCGGAGAAACAGGAAACCACTCACTGCTGTGTATTTAGAATCCTGAAAAACGAGTAAAGAACTCGTCACGTTTCAGCTTTAAATCATAGCACTATGTCGATGGAGAAAGGGCAGTGCCATAAGGTCGAGGAAGACGGAGGAAGGAAATAACTGTTAAGGCCTTTGAATGCCTACGCAGTTTCTTGGTCATTCCTAACTTTTTCCTCAAGTACAGTACGTTCCAGTTGCTGGACCCTCTCTACACCCCCTGGGTTCAGACCCTGAGTGGGGTAGAGTAAGTAAGTTAATGACTTAGACTTTCACACCTTTAGCATTTCAAGTTAAAAAAGGTTCTTTCCTAATCTGTCGTATATTCTTTAACTCTATTCGACTCCAGGCTTAAAGGAAGACAAGGGATGCGAGAGAGCATAGAATATCGAACCTAAAATGCCATAGCTTGATCTTTTTGTTTTTTCTTCGTCAAATGTCATGGCGAAAATTTTTCTGCCCACCTCGTATTCAGGTTCATCTCCAAAGTGATCGGAGACTCGTCGAGCGAGATTTCTGAAGGCTGCACGCATGTAGCTTGGACACTCCTTGATTGAGCCCAAGATTGACGTCATGACGGTTTCTAAGTAACCAGTCAGAACTGCCAGGCTTCTGTCCTGTTCATCAACTGGCTTTAGACTCAGACGCCTGTAAACAAACAGGAAACCAACTTAAAACTTACTGCTATATTACTGGGGTTTTTCGCCAACAGCACGTGTTTTCGTTGGCTATTTTGAAATCACATGGTATCAGGTAATGAAACTGTTTCCCGCTAAACGTCTGAGCGGGCAACCTCGCAAAATCTGACTTTTAAGGGTGACATTGCATTTATGCTCGTGAATTGTGACTGCACACCGCCTTTGCGCGTAAATCCCGACCAGCCATTAAGTCTTATCTGTCGCTGGATACGGCATTTGCGCTGACTGGTGTGTGGACCGGCGGGTCTAAGGATCTTAAGAGATTACTACGCCTAGATTGTTTCAAACTCGTGGAAAAACAGGCGCCAATTATTTGAAATAGATTTAGACAGCGGGTCACCCGCTTAGTTCTCCCTCGTCTGAACGCGATCTGCTTGAATTGTCGCACATCCACTTGGTACTAATACTATTTGTCCACGCCTAGTGGTGGTTTTAACAACCGGCCCTTTGACACACTTTTGACTATCGTGTGGTTGCTTTCTTGATTTTGGTCACAAAATCGTCTTAGGCCTAGGTTAAGCGTCGAATTTCGCAGGAGACGAATTAAACTGCAGTTGGACTCGATCCAAACGGGTAAAGCTTGACCGTTGGGTCAAGCATCAAACTTAATTCGAATTTAGATTGACCAACACGTTCTGTCCGTCTGCTTCAGACGGACAGAACGTGTTGGTTGATCTTAATTCAGTCGGACGAACTCAGTTGAGTCAAACGTCGAACTTATCATGAACTTAATTCGCCGCACACTTTGGTTCGTCTCATGTGAAGTTCGACGTTAGATCTGGGCCTTATGTAGCTCAAATCCTCAGCACTCTCACATGCATTAACTCTAAAACACGAACACAACAGAGTCTGCATCAGATTCAGATACATCAAGATTCCGTCCCGTTAGAATCCTTACCTGAGAGCGCTCTGTTTGCGCTCGGCGTTTTTACTTGGGTCCAGCTCGCAGTATTTACGTTCTTCAAAAATTTTGTCAATGACCGGCTTTAATGTGTCTGAAAGGTATGGCATGCCTACAATCTGAACAAAAAACGAGAAAATTAGAAGCTTTTAACTTCGGTTCAAATATCTCATTCACTTCGAAGATTAAAATAGCAATTTTCTGTACTAATTTGCTTAATTTTCGTTTAATGTTAGTTCAGAAAACATGATGGCACATAAGACAATGTTCTGTCCTTGTGTTCCAAGAGTTCAAAGGTTTACGTTGATGGTGATACGGCACTCTCTACCTGGCTACCTGATGATTTTCATCGCGCTTGTAAGAAGAAAACAGATTTTTAATTCTCTAGGAACAGTCACAAAGGTACAGAATTATTCCGGTTGTATTTTTGTTTGTATACCTTCATAAATTGTTCCATGCATTTCGCTGCCAGGCTGTTGCCTCTAAACAGAGTTCTTGGATTACCTAAGGAAAAAAGAACGGAGACATTCAAATCGTTCGTGGTCCTTGAACGAGGTAAAAACAGATTTCGGTGACATTCAAGTTCAGCTTAATTTCCTTGAAGAACTTTCTCACCATTCGTTTGCGCATGGTGAGGACGATTTCGTTCCTTTGTTCTGCTCCTTTTTCTATTCCAAATTTTTATTCAACAATTATTATGTGGAATTTCGGGAGATAGTTGGCCGACGAGGGCCGTGTCGGTTAAAATCATGCATTATGCTGCAAGAATGAGTACGATACTAACTCACTTTTTGCCGTAGCCCCCAGGGGATAATGGGTCGTGCATCGAAATAAACTTGAATGCGCAGCGCTTTGCAAGATGTGGAACGAAGTTCCGAATATAGTAATCCACATTTATCGCAAGATGTCTGTTATGTGCGGATACCAGATACATAACGTGAAAATTTGTTCTATGTAAGGTTAACATAGGTCGTTACTTGTGTCCTTTATCTCCCGAAGTGTCAGATAATCCAGAAATGGTATGACCACGTCCTGGCCAATAAACAGCCGAACCAGCTGGTGAGCCAGTATTGCTTGGTCAGCAGTGGTCAGCTGTTCAATTAAGCTCAGCACAGTGGGATCCAGGCTCTGCGGGTCCTTTGTGGAGTTGACAAGAATCTCTACCAGAGACTGATAACATTTCTGGGGAAGGATGCGTTCTTGTGTCAAACGCAGTTTCATTCGGATGCTGCCCAGATTTTCCCTGTTGAGAGACGCATTCTACCATTGACTTGAGAAATTTATGTGCTTATTTGGTGTTTTTATAGACTTCAGAGAGCGGTTTTCAACTGAATGTTGAAAACAATTGCTTTGGTTCTGTTTTACTACAATCTCTGAATGCTTCACAAGGAATTAAAGAAGTGCAACATGCTTTATGCATTTAAAGCGCAGCTGTTAAGATTTAAGCTCAGGAAATCGAATGCAAAACGTCAAGCAATCGATCTTTTCCACGCTTTCCAAAGATTATATTCGTTTGCGTTGAGGTTTTATGAGATTGAAACGTTATTGCCTCAGTATGATGTTAGTAGGTTAAGGATAATCTTAAGAAAACTGCTTTATTTTACTTTCCAAATTACAACTGAACTAACAAAAAAACGAAACAACCAAACAAGAAACAGCAAACGATAGGAAAAGTTGGGGACAACATGGCGACTGTTAGCGGCGCTTTTGGCGATAAGTACTTGTGCCTAACTTACGTCTTATGTTCTTTTATGTGTGGCATCGGGACCAGTTTGTACCAGGCGTCCCTGCTTTGGCCGGGTTTGAGCTTCGTCAAGAAGACTGTGACCTAGAAAATAATAGATTTTAAAGCAAATCACAACATGCGCCAGATTGTGCTGGGTTGAGATGCGCGGGATTGAGATGCGCGGGATTAAGACGCGCGGGATTGAGATGCGCGGGATTGAGATGTTCGGGATTGAGGTGCGCTGGTCTAAAATTTGCGGGATTAAGATGCGCGGGATTGAAACGTGCGAAATTGAGATGTGCGGGATTGAAACGCGCGGGATCGAGATGCAGTGGACTAAAATGCGCGGGATTGAGATGCGCGGGTTTCAGCCCTCGCCGGAGTTGTTTTGTTTTGTTCTGATCCTAATAACCTAAATCAAATTCCGGGAGTAGGTTTTGATGGAACAGCATCCCAAATAGGGAAAATAGCAAAATTTCTGGGCGCTTCACAACACAGGAAGTTAAGCTTAACGGATCGCTTACTAGCCGATAGATGGGATTATGCCGTTGGTATTTTTAAAGATGATTTTTCATTCTTATTCGCCAAAATTCTTTACTACCTGTCCGAAACAGCAAAGTAACTCNGGTCTTTGGAGTACCCAGTGTCTGAACGCAACCCTTCTTTGTGCTAGTGCTGGTTTAAACACAGCCTCAGCAGATTCGATTTACTTTATGTAGTCCTAAAAAAATCACTATGTGTGAGACTTCAGCGTTGGGAATATCAGGGAATAAGCCTCCGCATAAGGGAGATTTATTTACTTGTTAGTCTACAAAAGCGCGCCAAAATTACCTGTGAATCATTTGTTTTGGCGTAAAGGAAATTCTCAGTACTCAGCCAACAGTAGCGCTTTTTAAACTTGTATGGTTTTGGTAGCCTGGTGTCCCTGTAGCGGCACTTCTTAACGGAACCTTCCTTGATAATGAGAGAGTTACTGAACACCGTCCTCCTGTGGTCACAACCTGGAACTAACATTGAAAAGGAAGCCAAGTTAGAACTTAATAAACAGACTTTAACAATAGGCATTGGCTAGCTTCGTTACAGTGTTCACAGAACCTCTTCATGACATAAACGCTGCAGCGAAGCAAAACTGTAACTAGGCTAGTCTGGCCATTTAATTTGGAAGTGGCCCTTATTTTGCGTCTGGTGAAGTCTACCAAAGGCTACGAAACTTGTGCTAATCAACGAGGATATGTTCTTTTTACTCAATCAGTAGCCAAGGCTATTTCTTTTCTCGCTTATCTCTTTCTTTTAGTTTCCTCTCTACAACCAGTGCTAGGTTCTCTCCGTTTCCCTCTTCCTTCTCTACATTCTGAGAACCCAGACTCGGCGAGATATTCAGATTCACGCTTAGTTCAAGTCTTCATTTGGTGCTAGCTACTTTTCCAGCAACTTTCTTTTTCAAGTAGTCTGATTCATTTAAACCTCATTGTAATCGCTTTGGTTTTCGTTTTGTATGAGTCTTTGATAGCTCAAAAGTTTTTACTACCATCTTCATCCTCCACGTCAGCAAGCCTGTCCAGAAAGTCCTTGACTTCGTCTGTGTAGAATGCGATCCACTTGTACAGCGGTCCCATCCACTCTTCCTTCCCGTTATGCAGAGGGAGCTCAATGTTGCCAATCTTCTGCACAGTCTGGGAACAACGGACAAACACCACACAATCACTGTTTTTGCGTTTGTACGATTTTAGTCTGTGATAATTCGTAGAAGCAATTGAATGGGTTCATTTCTCGTTATTCAATGAAAATACAACGCAAGGCGCCAATGTGCACCTTGATTGGTGTTATGTTAATAAGGAACTTCTTCGACTTCAGTGAAGTCGGTTGCTAAGACAAGGACTCCTATCGAACGAGTAGTCCTGTGCCTCTTCCAGGCCTGTATTTTGATTCGTTCTCTTATCCTGTAGCTCCTATTGTTTCAAGCGCTGGGAGCATTGTTTAATTCATTTATGTATTGTTTACTGAGCTTATCACAAACTCTGTTTGGAAAGCTACAGGCTTTCTCTATAGAACTGACATATTCCCCCAGATAGGAGAATCAAGCCAGTTAAGGGCGAGACGCCTTGACAATTTTTTTCTAAGACTGCACCCTTCAAACCGAAACTGGTAGAAGATCTCTCTGATATCGGAAGTTAACTGGCACGCTACCGCTCTCCTCAGATACTGACCTTTGCCAAGATGGTTAGTGTACGGGAGACATTCTTGTCTGCATGGTTTTCCCTCAAACCGAAGAGCTTGGGTCCGAGAATTGCTGGCGCGAAGAACCGGAGAAACAGGAAACCACTCACTGCTGTGTATTTAGAATCCTGAAAAACGAGTAAAGAACTCGTCACGTTTCAGCTTTAAATCATAGCACTATGTCGATGGAGAAAGGGCAGTGCCATAAGGTCGAGGAAGACGGAGGAAGGAAATAACTGTTAAGGCCTTTGAATGCCTACGCAGTTTCTTGGTCATTCCTAACTTTTTCCTCAAGTACAGTACGTTCCAGTTGCTGGACCCTCTCTACACCCCCTGGGTTCAGACCCTGAGTGGGGTAGAGTAAGTAAGTTAATGACTTAGACTTTCACACCTTTAGCATTTCAAGTTAAAAAAGGTTCTTTCCTAATCTGTCGTATATTCTTTAACTCTATTCGACTCCAGGCTTAAAGGAAGACAAGGGATGCGAGAGAGCATAGAATATCGAACCTAAAATGCCATAGCTTGATCTTTTTGTTTTTTCTTCGTCAAATGTCATGGCGAAAATTTTTCTGCCCACCTCGTATTCAGGTTCATCTCCAAAGTGATCGGAGACTCGTCGAGCGAGATTTCTGAAGGCTGCACGCATGTAGCTTGGACACTCCTTGATTGAGCCCAAGATTGACGTCATGACGGTTTCTAAGTAACCAGTCAGAACTGCCAGGCTTCTGTCCTGTTCATCAACTGGCTTTAGACTCAGACGCCTGTAAACAAACAGGAAACCAACTTAAAACTTACTGCTATATTACTGGGGTTTTTCGCCAACAGCACGTGTTTTCGTTGGCTATTTTGAAATCACATGGTATCAGGTAATGAAACTGTTTCCCGCTAAACGTCTGAGCGGGCAACCTCGCAAAATCTGACTTTTAAGGGTGACATTGCATTTATGCTCGTGAATTGTGACTGCACACCGCCTTTGCGCGTAAATCCCGACCAGCCATTAAGTCTTATCTGTCGCTGGATACGGCATTTGCGCTGACTGGTGTGTGGACCGGCGGGTCTAAGGATCTTAAGAGATTACTACGCCTAGATTGTTTCAAACTCGTGGAAAAACAGGCGCCAATTATTTGAAATAGATTTAGACAGCGGGTCACCCGCTTAGTTCTCCCTCGTCTGAACGCGATCTGCTTGAATTGTCGCACATCCACTTGGTACTAATACTATTTGTCCACGCCTAGTGGTGGTTTTAACAACCGGCCCTTTGACACACTTTTGACTATCGTGTGGTTGCTTTCTTGATTTTGGTCACAAAATCGTCTTAGGCCTAGGTTAAGCGTCGAATTTCGCAGGAGACGAATTAAACTGCAGTTGGACTCGATCCAAACGGGTAAAGCTTGACCGTTGGGTCAAGCATCAAACTTAATTCGAATTTAGATTGACCAACACGTTCTGTCCGTCTGCTTCAGACGGACAGAACGTGTTGGTTGATCTTAATTCAGTCGGACGAACTCAGTTGAGTCAAACGTCGAACTTATCATGAACTTAATTCGCCGCACACTTTGGTTCGTCTCATGTGAAGTTCGACGTTAGATCTGGGCCTTATGTAGCTCAAATCCTCAGCACTCTCACATGCATTAACTCTAAAACACGAACACAACAGAGTCTGCATCAGATTCAGATACATCAAGATTCCGTCCCGTTAGAATCCTTACCTGAGAGCGCTCTGTTTGCGCTCGGCGTTTTTACTTGGGTCCAGCTCGCAGTATTTACGTTCTTCAAAAATTTTGTCAATGACCGGCTTTAATGTGTCTGAAAGGTATGGCATGCCTACAATCTGAACAAAAAACGAGAAAATTAGAAGCTTTTAACTTCGGTTCAAATATCTCATTCACTTCGAAGATTAAAATAGCAATTTTCTGTACTAATTTGCTTAATTTTCGTTTAATGTTAGTTCAGAAAACATGATGGCACATAAGACAATGTTCTGTCCTTGTGTTCCAAGAGTTCAAAGGTTTACGTTGATGGTGATACGGCACTCTCTACCTGGCTACCTGATGATTTTCATCGCGCTTGTAAGAAGAAAACAGATTTTTAATTCTCTAGGAACAGTCACAAAGGTACAGAATTATTCCGGTTGTATTTTTGTTTGTATACCTTCATAAATTGTTCCATGCATTTCGCTGCCAGGCTGTTGCCTCTAAACAGAGTTCTTGGATTACCTAAGGAAAAAAGAACGGAGACATTCAAATCGTTCGTGGTCCTTGAACGAGGTAAAAACAGATTTCGGTGACATTCAAGTTCAGCTTAATTTCCTTGAAGAACTTTCTCACCATTCGTTTGCGCATGGTGAGGACGATTTCGTTCCTTTGTTCTGCTCCTTTTTCTATTCCAAATTTTTATTCAACAATTATTATGTGGAATTTCGGGAGATAGTTGGCCGACGAGGGCCGTGTCGGTTAAAATCATGCATTATGCTGCAAGAATGAGTACGATACTAACTCACTTTTTGCCGTAGCCCCCAGGGGATAATGGGTCGTGCATCGAAATAAACTTGAATGCGCAGCGCTTTGCAAGATGTGGAACGAAGTTCCGAATATAGTAATCCACATTTATCGCAAGATGTCTGTTATGTGCGGATACCAGATACATAACGTGAAAATTTGTTCTATGTAAGGTTAACATAGGTCGTTACTTGTGTCCTTTATCTCCCGAAGTGTCAGATAATCCAGAAATGGTATGACCACGTCCTGGCCAATAAACAGCCGAACCAGCTGGTGAGCCAGTATTGCTTGGTCAGCAGTGGTCAGCTGTTCAATTAAGCTCAGCACAGTGGGATCCAGGCTCTGCGGGTCCTTTGTGGAGTTGACAAGAATCTCTACCAGAGACTGATAACATTTCTGGGGAAGGATGCGTTCTTGTGTCAAACGCAGTTTCATTCGGATGCTGCCCAGATTTTCCCTGTTGAGAGACGCATTCTACCATTGACTTGAGAAATTTATGTGCTTATTTGGTGTTTTTATAGACTTCAGAGAGCGGTTTTCAACTGAATGTTGAAAACAATTGCTTTGGTTCTGTTTTACTACAATCTCTGAATGCTTCACAAGGAATTAAAGAAGTGCAACATGCTTTATGCATTTAAAGCGCAGCTGTTAAGATTTAAGCTCAGGAAATCGAATGCAAAACGTCAAGCAATCGATCTTTTCCACGCTTTCCAAAGATTATATTCGTTTGCGTTGAGGTTTTATGAGATTGAAACGTTATTGCCTCAGTATGATGTTAGTAGGTTAAGGATAATCTTAAGAAAACTGCTTTATTTTACTTTCCAAATTACAACTGAACTAACAAAAAAACGAAACAACCAAACAAGAAACAGCAAACGATAGGAAAAGTTGGGGACAACATGGCGACTGTTAGCGGCGCTTTTGGCGATAAGTACTTGTGCCTAACTTACGTCTTATGTTCTTTTATGTGTGGCATCGGGACCAGTTTGTACCAGGCGTCCCTGCTTTGGCCGGGTTTGAGCTTCGTCAAGAAGACTGTGACCTAGAAAATAATAGATTTTAAAGCAAATCACAACATGCGCCAGATTGTGCTGGGTTGAGATGCGCGGGATTGAGATGCGCGGGATTAAGACGCGCGGGATTGAGATGCGCGGGATTGAGATGTTCGGGATTGAGGTGCGCTGGTCTAAAATTTGCGGGATTAAGATGCGCGGGATTGAAACGTGCGAAATTGAGATGTGCGGGATTGAAACGCGCGGGATCGAGATGCAGTGGACTAAAATGCGCGGGATTGAGATGCGCGGGTTTCAGCCCTCGCCGGAGTTGTTTTGTTTTGTTCTGATCCTAATAACCTAAATCAAATTCCGGGAGTAGGTTTTGATGGAACAGCATCCCAAATAGGGAAAATAGCAAAATTTCTGGGCGCTTCACAACACAGGAAGTTAAGCTTAACGGATCGCTTACTAGCCGATAGATCGAATTATGCCGTTGGTATTTTTAAAGATGATTTTTCATTCTTATTCGCCAAAATTCTTTACTACCTGTCCGGAACAGCAAAGTAACTCTGATTCGATTTTGACCTCCGCTGTCATCTTGAGATTCTGAAGCGGATCTTTAACTTCAAACTCCAGCCATTTCTGTTTGGTAGGAATCCACGACTTTTTATGTCCCTGATAGAATAAAAAGAAGCATTTTCGTGGTAAGTGAATCGCCAAGACAGTGCGCAAACACCGATGTTTGAGTCTGTAATTGGCGCTGCGACGGTAAGTTTGCAAGAAAAACGTATGGGTGTTCAAAAGCTTAGCCACGTCTTGTCCACTTATGAAAATTTTAGTCGCGAAACCATTTCAACAAGATGTACGATAATCTACACATACAGCAACGTTTAATAGACCTTCTAAATCGTTGCGTCAATAATCGTTACGTTTGGTGAAGTTGGCTTTACACTCGTTCTACGAATTTGTTGAACCCTTGCTACAGCAAACAGTCACGGGACATTGATTTTTTTGGTGGGGGGAGGCATGCATCAGTCCCCTCATGTTGTGTTCTTTGGCAAAACAGTCTCACACCACCTCTCTCCACTCAGAAGTATAAACAAGGGTATCAGAAAATTGCTCGGGAAATCTGGAAAAACCCCATGGGTAACCGACTGAAAATATCCCGCTGGATGGGGTCGGTTTTCGTTCCGTCAGTCGGAGATGGAGTCATCTATACTAGTGAAGCTTAGTGACTTAAAGCGTCCTTTTCGAAGTAAAGGAGCTACGTCGCGGTTTGCGCGTCTTGAAAAGTTTAGCCTAAATTCTTCAATTTCGTCGTTTGTAATCTGTGCTAATCTTCTCCATCCTTCTCCATCCTTCTCCATGCTTGTTCCTTTATGGTTTATTATTGTCTCTTCGGTGTTTTTCTATCTTGGTAAACTACTATTTCCATGTTTTCTTCAATTAAACTGCAATTTTGCACGCGGCCAAAATCACCGGCAAAATACCGTGACTGAGCTCCTTGAAAGAACAATCAACATGTCCACACGGCGAGGCAATGTTGCACGAGTAGAACTGACTCTTACCTCAGTGAGTTTGTCGACTGTTTCCCTCAGCGATAGTCTCATTTGAGAAGTCCCTGTACTGGGCTCTCCGAGGGAAAGCTTCACAGAGGGTTCTAAAATAGTTCTGCCTGTCTCAGGAAGGTCTCTTGGAGTGAAGGAACAAAGATTAGAGTTAGTGACACTCCAGAACGTAGGTCTGCAGTACGTGCACAGTGGAGTTGAGGCTAATGGACACTAGATTATCGGGAGATATTCTGCTCAGTAATATATCTACCGAAAGCTGAAGCTCTGTACAATTCTGGCCCCAAAATGCTCACTTTCCCGTAGAGAGGTCTTATTTAACGTTAAAAGGGTTTTGGTTTTGGAACTTTCTGATGGCCTACACCAGTAAAGTATAAAGTAGTAACTCAGTATCATTGCAAAAACAAATTGTGATCAGAACTCATGTTACCTTACTTCCAGAACTTTTGCCCTAACTTTTTTCACATCTCCCTAGTAGTAAAAATATATAGCATAAATATCATACTAAATAGATAGCAATTCGTATGTTTTCGTGACCCTATTGTAACTGTGCTTCTTTCATCATGAACCTAATCCGATAGAATTTTCAAACGTCAAAGTACTGGAACATCTTCGGTAAGTTTTTGGTTGTCTCTCGTACATCTTCGGAATTAGTAGCAGGACTTCGGAATTTCTTCGGGCCATTTGTTAGACATACCGATATCTGCGGAAGTAATTTAGAGAGTACCCCTTATATGCCTCCATATTCAGCTATCTCTGTTCAAAAGGGACTCAAACTTAATTTTATGAAATATAAGAACGATTTTCTTTGCCTTCTCGTAGAGGGTTGCTTCTATCCTGATCTCTCCTTGAATATCCGTGTAGTTGTACATGTCAACAGCAGACAAAGGGAACCATTTATCCAGCCCTTTAGGACTCTGCGCCAAACTCCCCCGGTCAAATATCACTCGTCCAATGAGATCATCGAGTCTGTGGAAACAAAAGATAACGCGTGAAAATCACTGAATCAGTTGATTTTAAGATGGACATGCGATTCTACTTTGTGAGGCCTGAAGTGGTTAAATGGTAACTGTCATTTGCCCATTCTTTTCACTGGGAAAATTGGGTTTCAGTCACTAGGACTGGGATTCACCCAAAAAAAAAAAAAAAAAGGGCAATGGTTTTTTTGGCAACATTTGGGCTGGCAATGGAGCTTAGCCCCCCTCCCCAACCTCTCCGCTTTTTGGGCCCTTTACATTATGAAACCCGGGCTCACGTTATTCCTCACCCGATCGTGTCCTCATCGTAAACATAGACTGATAGGTTAGTAAAACCAACTGGTAGAAACATGGTATATTCCTCGCCCCAAAACGGCTCCAAATCTCTCCATACTGTAGCAGTCCTGAAAGAAAAAAACATTTTCAAGAAAAATTTAGGTGCTTTATATTTGCAGTCGGTGTTACCATTTTTGCCGATTCTAACAGACCAATCAGAAATAGCACAGAAACTTATGATGTCAACTTGTCGTCATCAGTATACGTCATGTTGCTTAGAAACATCGCAGCTGACACTTGCCGACTCAATCAAGTTACGTCGCGGTTTGCGCATCTGAAAAATTTAGCCTAAATTTTACGTTAGCCCAGCCTTTGCAATCCGTGTTAATCTTCTCCATCCTTAACCATCCTTGTTTTTTCATGGTTTATAATTATCTCTTTGGTGTTCTTCTATCTTAGTAAACTACTATTTTAAGGTTTTCTTCAATTCAAAGGTAATTTTGTACGTGGCCAAAATATCGTGACTGAGCTCCTTTAAATGGATGAAATACTCCTAAAATTATGCTTGATCGCGAAAAGAATTTTATTTATTTAATCAGTAACACAAACACTAGTTTGCTACTGAACGAAACTTAGTGTCTTTCTGTTATCTATGTTGAATAACAATGTTGAGGTTATGTTAACACGATCAGCAAGAGAGAAATTTCTTTGCTTAGTGTCGTTTTTGTAATTATGCCTAATTTAGTAATAAGTAAATAAAATTGTAAGTAATAACGTATTAAGGTCGCGACACAGGGAGAGGTTGCCTACTCTCCCGAACCGGGGACTCATGATAAAATTGCCGGCTCAACACAAAATACTACTTAAGAACAAAAATACACTGTTAATATACATAATGGTGCTAAGGACTACAATTTCTATCGGTATGGAATGGGATATTATGTAAAAACATCCCAAATTTATTTTAATATTTAATGGAAATAATTTTTACTGAATAGTTCAAGCACTTCAGTTAAAATGTACAATGACCTCGTTGGACGTTAGAGACAAAAGACAAAGAAGAAACTGTTGAAATTTGTTGCGCTAATTTGTGTCAGCAATATCAGAACATAATAACATAATATTAACGTGATATGAAAAGACTATGGGATACTTGGAGTGAAAGCAATTTTAAATTGCGATAATTAAATTGAAGTAATTAAACTTTTAGTGAGTCAATACGGGATAATGTTTAACGTAATGGCTATTGTAGCCAAAGGTTAAAGCAGTCTTGAAAGAGAGGATGCAAACTGTTTCTGACGTTCGCCTCTATTTTGTATCTATTTTTTTTTTTTTTTTTTTTTTACCTTGTTATTTACTTTTAGGGGAGGAGATTCTAGGAATTTCTGCTTTTAATAGTCAGTTTACCGCTGCTTACAGATTGCTAACAGAAGTCGCGTTTTCAGTCCTTTTTCAAAACCATCTTTGAACCGACTCCATCGGACAACACTGAAACGACTAAGTTTGCATTTTTCGACGATATTGCGTCAAGTTCATTTATATCATTCATGTGAACAATACACTTTATAATCACATAAACATTCCGCTTCTGAATGGCGAAAGGACCACTATCGTTTTATAGTTATTTCAAAAATCCCTTACCATTTCCGCCCTCTTTAATAATTGAACTTAAACATTATACCTAATTGACTCACTGAATGTTTAATTACTTAAATTCAATTATCCCAATTAATCGTTTTTTCTCATTTTTAGGCGCATTTGCTAATTTACTGTGTGTACATAAATTTGTTAGAGGTAAACTCACGACTTTTCATTCCAAATCTTATTTAACCGTTTATTTAAAACAGCGATGAAATTGGTCAATTTATGTCCTCGTTGCATTAAGTTCGAGAACATGTTATGCAGATTTTTAGTGCTCAAGGGTCAGTTTTACCAAGGAATACAAGTTGGGTGTTCTTCCTGCTTGAATAGGCCTTGGCCGTTGTTTTGGTTAAATATCGAGAGCGAAATACCCGCCAATTTAGCAAACTTTCATGTCCAAAATATTCAAAGCATTTATCTCAACTGAATTATCTCAGGTGGAGTTCTTTTAGTTTGACATTTGCACAAGGAAGTACAATTTTATTTACAGATTTTGTTTGAGATTACAACAGCTGTCAAGTCGAAGCTGGTATTTACCGACTGTTCGCTTTATTGAGTTTTGTGGACTGATCAGTCGTTCATGTTTATTCGTGTTCAGCCTTACAGTAAAGTAAACTCCTTTAGCGTTACGATAGCTTCGGTGTAAAAGATTGATGATAAATTTCGAATTGGTATCGACGAATAACATCATTTTCCTTTCATCACGGATTTTCACAGTGTAATAGTGTGATATACGCAGCAAGTCAATAAACAGCAAAACAACCCGGAGATATCCACTTACCGTGCTACAACTTCATTGTCAATCTTGACGATGCAGTAAGGATCACTCTTCCCAGAGCTGATTAAAAAAAGAGAACAAAACAGAATTATTTCCGAATTCACTCATTGACCAATATCCGGTTTTAAATTACTCTTGTTCGTTTTGCGGTTCGCACGACAATCATTTCTCAAGTCGACTACTAAGTTAAACAAGTTATGAAATGTACGAGAAAAACAATTAACTGATCTGTTTCTAAATTAAATTCCCGTTGCGGACTTACATGTCTTTTCTCGGTAGGTTCTTTCCCTCTCCGATGCGAAGATATAAAATGGTACTCTTCGCCATTTCACCTGTGTTGTTTTAAAAACTGAATCGATGCTAAATTTAAACTGTAGCAGAATCAACAAGCGTAACAGAGCAAAACAGTTAAAAGATCAACACTAAATTAACTAAGCGATCTAACTTTTTTTAGATAACGGAAAACCTCTGCCACGCTGATCTTTCTGTGCGCAAAAACTGGCCAACTGCTTGTGTTGCGTAAAAGCGAGCATAAATAATGACTTGACTCCGGGCTGTCAAAGAGAATATTTTCCTTTCAGGCGTATTACAATTTAGCATATCATTAACACAACGAAGATAAACAGTGGATCTCTATCTGACAATTAGCAGCAACACTTAAGTTTTGTGTTGCACACAATTCTCGCGTTCGCCGCCTGTATTGTAATTGCTTTTAATCCATCATTCATCTAATTCTGTTCTCTAATTTTTTTATGCACTTACATCACCCGAAGAAGTTACGATTTTTGATCATTTTAGCACAGTGATTGACTTATTTCTGGTCTCTAACGTTTTGAAAATGGTATGTCAGAGGTGATGTTTTGTTTTTCTTATACTTTACAAGTCTCAGACCGGAAATGACAACCTAGCTCTGCCATTGGACGCATAATTTGGTGGTAAATGAAATTATGGGTTAATGTAAACGATTAAACACTTAAACTCGTTTTTCGAAGGAAAATTTCAGACT